AATCCCACCACCCCCCCTGCAACACAGCGCCGGCTGCTCTGCCCTAAGCCAAAAGGGAGAGAATTAGTCAAGTGACACTCCAGCCCCTGCATGCCGCACTGTGACTCCTGGTAAGCGTGTGCCACACTGACCCAAGAGGCCAGATTTGCATGTGCACGAGTGACAGGATATCTGCAGCAGCTTTACACCAATATAACTTGCCATCAGCATGTCATTGAGCCCTTCTCCACACGATCATGCTGGCAACAGCCTGGTTCCAACAGGCCCTAAGGAAAGTCGCAAGACCAGGCATCCCCTCGGATTAGCAATCTCAAGCCTGACAAGACAAGGCAGAGCTGTGGTGGGAACTGGCCTGAGACTCAGGAGGGCCAGCTTCAATTCCTGCCTTGACCATAGATTTTCTGTGCGCTTGGCCACCCCATTTAACTTCCTTGGGCCTCCTTCTCCCCCGACTTTTGTAAAAGGGGATGAGGCTTTTCCACCTTTCTGCCTGTTTCCAGACTGCATGCTCTTCGGAGCAGCCTCTTAGTCTGTGCAGCACCCGGCCCTTGCTCTTTGGTGGAGCCTGTAGGAACTCCCGGGATACAAACAATCGATAAGCGCGCCCTCGGTGCTGGGTTTGTGAACAATGCACCCTGCAAATAAGGCCACATTGCTGATAGCAGCCAGGGCGCACACTGAGGGTGTGTCTACACTGCAGGGCTTAACTCGAAGTTATACAAATTGAGCGACATCAATTGCGTATCTTATTTCGAAATAGGGAGCGTCTACACAGCACTTATTTTGAAATAGAGCACTCTTCCTCCGACTTCCCTTATTCCTCGTACAGTGAGGGTTACAGGAGGGGGAGTAAAGTCAGCCTCCAGCTTGACAGTATTTTGACACTATTTCGAAATAACTGCCTGCTGTGTAGACGCAGACTAAGTTATTTCCGAACTGCGCTAGTTATTTCGAAGCAGCGTTGCAGTGTAGACGTACCCTAAGTAAGTAAAAGGAGTCACTCTGGTTTAGGGTGATTGTTTATATGGAAGGTTTCCAGCGCAGCGCATCAGCGAGGAATATAAAAACTGAGCATTAAGCTGCAGCTTCCGGAGTTTTGGGGGTTGATTTGGAACAAGCCAGAGGATTTGCAACCAGTGGCCTGTTAGGCGCTGCATGGTTCTGCAATTCATCCGCCTGCAGTGCAAAGGAGACAGGACACTCGTCTTCCTTTTCAGATGGACAAGTCTTTATTTTACATATACAAAAGCTCAAGATCCTTCTGAAACACAGCAAACCCTAAAGATTTCTCCTACTCTTGCTGATGAGAGGAAGCCCCCAAGTTGTAGTAATTTATAAGCAACTGTATTTGAAATAAAAGCAGCCAGTGGCAACGCCTCCCCCATACCAGGGGCACCCATCCATGAAGCAAAACATCACAATGCTCCACTCTCGACTTTAGTTTGCTGGTGGAATGATACGCCAACAGCCTCTGGCTTTAAGCGGTCGGGGGACTGCAGGAAAGGGCATCCTACATGATTCCGGGGCTTCAGAGCCATAGGACCTAGGAGGGCAAATGGGCTGGGCATTTCTAATTCAAAGGTCCTGCAAAGTGCGGTTACACCACGGGAGCGAGCTGGAAATAACGCAGGATCCGTTCTCGGTGCTGCTGCTCCACGTTTCCACGCCAGCGCTCGGCTGGCTTGTTACCCACACAAAGGGTTGGGCCTGAAGAGCCAGCACCGTTACGGGATCACGCGCTGGAGTTTTCCGGGTTACGCAGAAGAGCTGCAATCCAACTGCAAAATCTGCAGGGCTGGGTCTGATCCAGAGACTCCAGGTGATTGTCCTATCCCCACGGGGGCCTGCAGCACCACCCTTTTTTGTCTGCCTTGTAAAATGGGCCAGACTGGACCTGGTGCTGCAGGGCGACCCAACGTGGGAGCTTTGGGGTTTATTTTTACAGCCAATCTCCCCCAGTCTAACCGCACTTCCAAAGGAAAAAACCAAAGGACGCCCCTTCTCACCCTGGGCTCACAGCCGTCACCAAGGGGCTCAAGAAAATAGACAAGTGATATTTTTTCATTAAAAAACCCTTTATGTTCAGTTCATGTCGGTTTAAATCACAAGAATTTAGGTGGAAAAAAAATACCCCAAACAAACAAGGAGACAAATACAAACATACAGCACAGAGCCTCCCCAGAAGTTCTTTCCTTTCACAGGAGCAGGAGGGGCGGGGGAACGAGACCTACGCATCATCTACGGTGCGACTTAGTGAAGTAACTCTGGGGGCAAGGCCGAGACAGTCTCCTTCGCTGCCGTCAGTGCGGAGACCCTGCAAGTGTTCTCGTCCACGCGGGATTCGCCCCCTCAGCTGTCCTCCTCCTCGTCCACGGACTCCGACTCCAGGCGGACCCTTTCCCTGTCCAGTCCAGGCCTTTTGATCTCAGGAAAGTCTTGCCCGCTGCCAGGAAAGAGCACAGGAAACTCACTGCGTTGCCTCCATTCCCGGCTCAGACGATACGGTAGCCAAGCAGGGAGGCAGGGTCTAGGGCAGCGTTTCTTAAACTGTGTTCCGGGGCACACCAGTGGGCTGCGAGGCAGTCGGAGGTGTGTCGCGGACAACAACAGATTTCAAAATGGCCGCTCATAACTTTTCCCCCGACCCCTTTTTCCCCTCAATAACTCCCCACCCCAACTCCCCCTCAAAAAAAATCCTTGGTGTTCCCCATTAAAAAAAAATATTGTTTAGTGTTCTTCGGGCTTAAAAAGCTTAAGAGACACTGCTCTAGGGGGTACAGTCTCCTCCTCCTCTCTTCATTCATACCGCTCCATGTATCCCTCCCTCCTCCGTTACACCCCCTCTATCCAGCCCTCCCTCCCTTCCACACCCCTCTGCCCAACACCCCCACTGGTACACTTAGGGGACACCCTTCCTTCCCTAGACCTCCCCCTGACTTTCTTGCCCCAGGCAAGGTTCCCAATCGTCCCTAGGCCAGAGCGCCTCTGCTATCGCTCTTGCTGGGGCAAGGCAGGCAGGCCATGCGGGCTGGCAGGGTTTAGACTCAGTTTCCGCTGCTCAGGGCTGAGGCTCTGCACAAACACCCGATCCCATCCGGAGGGAGAACCACCTCGCAGAAGCCTAGAAGCAGACCTGCTGGCCCAACAGGGATTTCCTGCCCGGCTCCTTCGGCGCTAGGAAACCCAGACAGAGACCTGGCCTTGATGCGATCTAGAAAAGGCTGCTGGTCTGGAGTTCTGTACCCAGCAGCAGCACATCACTGCACCCCTTAGCCTCTGCCCCATGCATGCTGTGGATAGGGGGCTTCCCGGCCCTTGCCCTGCTGCTCCCCTCAGCAGGCATGAGATGGACCAGAAAGGGCCCCGGTCCCCTCCCACCGAGTCTTCCCCAGCCAGAAGGGGTCACTCACTCGTGTGTGTCTTCCAGGGATGCCTCTTGGTCTCCATCGCCAGATCCCTGGGTTTTGTCTCGCTCCTTATCCTCCGCGTTCTCCCCTTTCTGGGCCACAGACTCGCCGTTTACGGGGGCTGACAGATCTGCAGTGGGCGGGGAACGTGGCAGAGGAAGACAGACTCGTTCCTAGGCATGGCTCCCTCTTAGGAGCAATGGCAGACAGTGCTCAGTTAGGCCCCCTTCATGGGAGGACCTGCCTGCCTCTCAGCCCTGAATGCACTGAGGGAGCCGTGAAACAGGGAAGAGGGAGAAGGGGATGTCCAGAGAGGCTACAGGACTTGCCCAAGGTCACAGGGGAAGTCTGAGGCAGAGCAGGGGAGCAAGTCAGGCTGCTAAGCAAATCATGGGGCCCTTCTGAGACACAGACCATCTTCCTCTCCCTCTGGATCTAGCTAAGCTGGCAGCTCCACAGCCCCGGAAGCTAAAATCCTCCGGCCACGGCAGCCGCAGGGAAAACCTCCCGGTTCAGCGTTATCCCACCAGCTCTCTGGACACATCCCCGCTAAGAGGGCCAGGGTCTGGAGTGTGGTCAGTCCTTGCCCTCGGCTGAGCCCCACCTCTCCTGGCCCTGGTTTCAGATGGGGGCTCTAGGGGCACCAGCACATTTTGGTGGCTAGGCACCTGGGGAAGATTTGACACAGCTGCCTAAAGGTGAAGCTACCCCCACCCCCTCCCCACTAGTTTGTAGCTCATCGGGGAGCCGACAGCCTCTCCCTGCCCCAGGGCACTGTGGGCGGAGGGCTGGCTCCGCGCACCAGAAGGGGCAGGGAGCAGCCAGCCCTCAGCACTGCTCAGCACCTGGCGCGCCCCGCACCCTTGTAAGAGCTGGCCAGAGCGCACCACGTGGCACCCCAGCAGCGCTTTAAAGGGCCTGGGGTCCAGGACAACTGTCCCCTTTGCCCCTCATCGTCAGGCGGCATCTCGCATTTCATTTGTGTGCCAGGGACGAGTCGGGGGCACGGGGGGCTGACGGCCAGGCTGGAGCTAACCAGAAGGGCCCTTCTCTTGGAGGCAGCCTGTGCTACCCCCCTTTCCTGGCCATTGGGAACCCTTAGCCCCCCCCAGCCTTGAACCAACTGGTGGCATCACAGGTCTGGAGGGTGCCCTGGGGTGCCAGAGGTAAAGAATGTGCGTGCCCCTTCTTCAGGCTGGCAAACAATCCGCATGCCTCCAGCTGCTGGGACAGGCCTCTCCAGCGTTCTGGGCTCATCAGTGTGACACTCCCATGAGCCTGCCTGCTTCCCAGCCCCTCCACGGGCCCCATCTAGAGAGTCACCAGGGAGGACCCTGCCGCTGCACTAGGAACCCCCCTGTAAGACTCAGGCAGGCAAGGCCCCTGCTTCACAAGTGATAAAGCCAGGGTCCTGTCCCTCCCTGGCGAGGGGGGGCAGAGTCACTGGAGCATCCATCACTCTCAGTCTGTGTCAGACTCAGGGCACCAGCCCCCCCGCCCCCGGTTTGCCGAGTGCCCAGGAGGGTCAGGACCCCCCTAGCCGCCAGCATTCCACGTACCAGCATTTGTCTCCTCCTCTCCTTTCTCGTTCCGGGCCTCCTCTCCCGACAGCTTCTCCTGCCCCTTCTCCACGTCCCCCTTCTCCTTCTCCAGCCCCGTTTTGTTGGCTTTCTGGTTCGCCTCGATCTTTGGTCCCAGGACGCGCGACTTCAGGCGGGTGTAAACCTCAGCCGCCTTCTCCATCACATCCTTGTTGGCTTTGTAGCGGCGGATCTGTCACACGCACACAGGGAGGTGGGGCTGGCACCGGGCTCAAGGGGCACCCGCACGCCCGCCCGCTACGATCCCGCCTCCCTTGTACCTTTTTCAGCGTAGCCACCACGTCTGTGTGTTTCTGGAGGATGTGAGAGGTGACCTGCAGGGTTCCCAGCTCCTCCAGCGCGTTCAGGCACCTCTTGATATCCTGCAGCCAGAAGCGGGAGATCAGAGACTCAGCTCCACCTGGCAGAGGTGGTGGCACGGAGCACCCCAGGAAGTTTCTTAGTGGATTGTTCCATCCCCTCTCAGACTTCCAGCAGCAGGACAAACCCAAGATCTCTCCCTCTCATTGGGGGGGGCTGAGCAGCAGGGACGCTGACAAAGGGGCTGAAGAACCTGTCTGACTTAGAGTCAAAGTCTAGGGGTATGTCTACACTACCCGCTAGTTCGAACTAGTGGGGTAATGTAGGCATACCGCAATTGCAAATGAAGCCCGGGATTTGAATTTCCCGGGCTTCATTTGCATAAGCCGGGCGCCGCCATTTTTAAATCCCGGCTGATTCGAACCCCGTGCCGCGTAGGTAGTTCGAACTAGGCTTCCTAGTTTGAACTACCATTACTCCTCATTCCACGAGGAGTAACGGTAGTTCGAATTAGGAAGCCTAGTTCGAACTAAACCAGCCGGGATTTAAAAATGGCGGCGCCCGGCTTATGCAAATGAAGCCCGGGAAATTCAAATCCCGGGCTTCGTTTGCAATTGCGGTATGCCTACATTACCCTCCTAGTTCGAAATAGGAGGGTAGTGTAGACATACCCTATGGCACTTATCACATACGCTCATCTTCGTCCCTTTCCCCGATGAGACACTGCAGCCTCGCCAGGATCGGACACCCGACCTAGTCCAGCCCCACCTTCAGCTGTGCTGCTACAGCCCCCCCCCCCTCCCCCCCAAAATCCAGCAGTAATGATCTGCATCAGGCAGGCACTAGCAGGCAGCTGTGACAGCCAGCAGGGAATTCTCCAGATTGGGAAGAACCACCCAGGGAGAAATAAAAATCACCTTTGGCACCATCTAGTGGCAAAACTGAGCATTGCTCCTTTAAAACTGCAGAATCAAGTGCCTCTCCTAGGGCCCGAGTAGTTCGACATGGAAGGGACCAATAGGGATGAATGAGTCCAACCCCCGGCAGCAGCCATGTCAGACAATAACAGACCCTTCCGGTGAATATGCAGCAGGAAGAACGACCGAACAGAGCTTGGAGCTGGCTCAGGTGGAGACTATAAGGAGGTCCATAGAATGCCCAGCAGAGGTCAACATTTACGGCTGGACACCCCGAATAGCATGAAAGCCAGAAAGCCCCGCGCGGAGGCAGACTCCAGACACCTCTAGCCAATAAGCTAATTCAGTAACAATCCTCTATTAAAAGTTGACAGAGGCCTAAAGACAGCAGGGTCTGGCCCCAATTTAGGGATGTAAAATGCCATTTAATTGGTTAACGGTTACGCTGGATGGTTAACCGATTAACAGGGGTGTAGATGAGGGAGCCGCAGGGAGGGGCTGCTCCAGCCCGGCCAGAGCAGCCCCTGCCAGTGACGCGCCTGCGCTTGTTGCAGACTCTGGCTGTCCAGAGCCGCCCCGGCCCACGGCGGACAGGGAGCTGCTCAGTCCCAGTCGGTTAATCAGAATGGGTAAGCATCGCCCCCGGGTCTCGTGTGGCCTCGCACTGAGCACGGTCACAGATGCCTGTGCAGTGGGGGTAGGGGGCTCCCCCCAGCAGGAGCGGAGGGTTGCAATCAGGGAAAACCTGAGTTGCTCTGCACAGACGTCAGCGACACACTGAAGAAGGGAGGAAGAGGCCACAGTCGCCAGCAGCCTGGGGACGCCCAAGGAAGAGGGAGCCCTCTCAGATGAGGGACTAGACCCTGACCCTCTCCCCAGCCTCGTCCCGTACTCACCGGATTATCGACCTTCAGCGCAAACTTGATCTCGCTGTGAAGTTTCTGAAGCTTCTCTTCGATTGTGGGCTCTAAGACCACATAAAAGAAAGAGGCCAAGGAGTTAGCCCGCCCTTAGCGGGTTTTAACTTGTTTTTGGGTTGCGGGACACGGAGGGTCTGAAAGCAGAGACGGCGCACAGGGCATCCGAGGAATTCAGCTCTGCTTCTACACAAGCCTGGCCTCCTGAGAACAGGCAATATGCACAGCCGCCCCCCAGAGGCAGGAAGGGCTGGGAACGGACTAAGATCAGAGCAGTCGTCACTTGGTTTTCCTGAGCAGGGCATGTTGCTTGAACCCCCTCTAATGCCTGCCAAAGGGGGTTACACCAGCCATAAGGGCCCCCAATAGCTCTGGACTGAAGAGCCGAATCAGAGCGACACACTGGGCCTGTTTTGGGTAGACGTTCTCCGCACCCCACGCCAGGATACTGGTCAGAAGAGTCCCCTCCCCCCCAACACGCTTTCTGTCAGTCCCAGAATCTCTCACCCTTCTTCTTCTCCATCCTCCTCTCCGGGATCACGTCGGACTTTCTCCGGCCTCGTTCCACTCTAAAGGGCCTGCAGCAGTTAAGGAAACAAGTAGTATCCCTTTTAGGAGTCGTGCTCGTTGCCCTGGCTTCCATGGGACACCAACAGTCTTCTCTCTCACAGGGCAGGCAGGGGGACGCCCTGCCTTCCTGGCAGAGTTTTGCCCACCTGGTTTACACGGCAGCACCCCCGGCCCTGGCACCACCTGCTGCAGGGTTTGGATCACTCTGGGTGCATGAAGGAGGCAGGAGGCTGCCCCAGCTCTCTGGGCAGGAATAATGCCACTGCTTAACCCTTCCAGCCTTGGATCTCAAAGCACGTCACCAAGGCAGGGGAGAGTCACTGCTCTGCTTTTACAAACAGGAAGCGCGAGGAGCAGGAGGGGTTGAGCCCACGTCCTCAGCCACGGCCAGCCTGGGACATCTCGGGCTGGATTTGCCAAGGGGCCCGTCTGCGGAAGTCAGGGGGGGCCGTGGGGGCACCGAACCTCTGGAGAATCGGGCTCCAGTGAGCCGAAGCTTATAGGGCACTTCTGAGGTTCTTCGTAGGGATTTGCCCAGTCCCACGGCAGGGCTAGAACCCACAGGGCCCCTCACAGGCCAGACCACCCTCATTCTTACATCAGGCCTGGACATCACAGGCCCCCCTCACAGGTTCGCAAGGGCTCTATCGGGGGTCTCAACACCTTGCGGCCCCCTCTCCCTGGCAGCAGAGAAGGGAGCCGTCCCAGCAAGGACAGCAGGGTCAAGAGACGTCCTCTGCCACTCCCACACCTGGGACAGGCCCTGAAGGCTGCTTGGACCATCCAGCGGAGGCAGGCTCAGTTCAAGGCACATGACACTGGATGCTCCAGCAGGACCTCCCTTAATGCCCTTAGAAACCAGGGAGGGGGGAGGAACCTCGCCTCGCCCCTGCAAAGCTGCCCCTTCCCAGAACCACAGGCACTTCGCACAGCTCAGCCATGGGCTCCAGCAGGGGAACCTCCCCCCCGCCCAGCGGTGGGGCACAAGAAGAGAATCCTCCCCACCCAGCCCCACAGCCACTGCCCATGCCGGTGGGGAGGGGCCAAGCACAAGGAGGAAGCGGCAGCGCGGCAGCAAGATGCTGACTTGTTGTGAGGCTTCTCCTCCGATCGGCCCCTCTTCTCCTTTTGATTCGGTTTCCTTGACAACTCCGAGAGCTGCTGCTTCTTCAGCGGCTTCTTTACCTTCAACAAGAGAACAATGCGGGCGCTGAGCGCGGCGGCAGGCTCCTCCTCGCCGCAGAAGGGGAGAGAACAGGGGTGGCCTATTCCGGCACCTCAGGCGCCCGGCGCGCCATTCCAGGAACGTTTCTGCCCCCCCGAGCGGACAACTCAAGGAGCCAGATTTGCTTGGGGTCACCCAGCCTTTGGCCAGCCAGAACCCCACTGCCCTGCCAAGAACATGGCCACATGCTGCTCTGGTGCCCAGAGGGAGGGTTTCACTCCAGCACCCACACAGCCTCCAAAGGTCTGGTGTCCACACACTGCCCCACCCCCCTTTGCACGTCACCTGGAGGGCCTCCTGCCCAGAGGATCTCAAAGCTCTGCTAATATCAAACATCGCAGCCCCCCCAGACACTCCTTTTACAGCTGGGGAAACTGAGGCTGAGGTGACTTTCCCCAAGATCTCTCAGTGAGTCGGTGGCAGAGCAGGGAACGTAATCAGGAAGTCCCTGGCTTCTGTCATGAGGCAATGCTGCTTTTATAGCTTCTCCCTCGTGCAGTGGAGATGGAAGGAGGAAGAGATTTGTCATTTCAGACTCTCCTAGCCCCCCAAGAGCTCCAGAAAACTGGCACAGGGAGATGGGTTCTGGAGATTCCACCCCGAGCTCAAGAGCTCACATCTAGCCTGGGGCAGCGGTGACCGTACAGTGGCTGTGCTTCGTGACATGAGTTTGGTAGGTCTCCGTCCCCTCCCAGCAACCAAACATCTACGTCACATACACACCCTCCCCACCCCCGCCCAACAGCCAGTCCCTGCGCCGGCAGCCTCCATTTCCTGCCGCACCTGGACCCTCCATGGGCTGCTGCAAATACAGCCAACAAACCATGGCAGAGAGTTTTCCAAGCCCAAATCCTGAAGCCCTCCACCAACTGATGCTCAGCCATCACAATGCAGCCAGCTCTGGGGTGGAACGTGAAAGCTGTTACACAGCTTCCAGCAATGCTCCACACCAGCATTCAGGGCTTCCCCTGTGACAGGAAGCAGCCAGAGCCTCCGTCCAACATCTCGGCAAGCCCTGGCGGTGGAGTTTGGTACCAAAGCTAAATCCAGGCAGCTCCGCTCCGCCCCGCCCTCCTCTCGCTACAGTGGCAGCTTGTTCCCCACTGACCGGAGCCGACGTGGCTTCCCACAGCTAATCCGGGCAAGACACCACCCGGCAGCACAGCTGGGAGAGGTTCCTCCTGGATCTGGCCTGATCCTTGCATGGGCAGCACAGGAGCGACTGCACACTCACCTCTCGCTCCAGCTCCAAGTCAGAGTCCGATGACAAGTGGTCCTTGCCACGGCCCTTCTTGCCTTTCTTGGTCACCTCGTCCCCCACGCTGCTGTCGCTGTCCGAGTGCACCTCCTCCCCCTTCTCCGCCTTCTCTTTCTTCTTCTCCTTCTCCTCCTTCTCCTGCTCCCGGAGCCTGCGGATCTCTTCCTCCTGCTCCCTCTTCCTCTTCTCCTCCAGCTCCCGGCGACGCTCCTCGTCCCGCCGCTTCCACTCGCTGATGCGGTCCACGTCGCTGTCACTGTCACTGTCGGGGGCAGAGAAGTGGATCAAGGGGAACAGGAAACTCCCTGAACAGATGGAGCCCAGGCGCCCTCCACCTCCCTTGCTTCCAGAGTGCTGCTGGTGCTGCGGAGCCCAGGGCAGGCTGTATACCGGGAGGAGCCGCAGCCTTGCTCCCTGGGACATAAGCTATTTGCAGCATCAGTCTCAGCAGAATGTGGGGTGTGGGCCCCTGGACAGGCCCTGGAGAGAGAGGTAGGAGGCCACCAGCAGCTGCTCGCTCGCTCGCTGCCCCCACCTGGATGGAAGCAGAGCTGGCAAGGGGGGCCAGCCTGGCAGCCCGGGAGAGTGAAGGCTTCTGGCTACCCCCAGCGGTGCACACTGCCCCCCAGCACCGAGGCAGTGCTCAGGGATAGCTGCACTAGGGCATCAGTCTCCAGGGCCTAGGCAGTCCCTGGCCCCTCGGCTCAGGTGGCCACCGCTGCGGGGGCGGGATTCCTGCCCCACACATGCAGGAGCCGGGCGAGAGCCATGGGGCCTGCCTCGGTCCAGGCTGCAATTCGCACTTGGGAGTCCAGTCCCTGGGAACCCTGCGCTCTCCTCCCGACGTGCCACACGAAGCCTGTCGGGCACCTCGCCAGTTGTGGCTCCCCCCCGCCAGGCCAGGTCACCCACGGAACCGCTGGCTGTCGCAAAGCTGGGCAGACGGGGATTCCCTAAAGCCCTGGGGCAGACGCACCGAGACCAGCCTGCGCGCGTGTTGCTTGGGGAACCAGCACGCGCTCTCGCTGAGTCTGCACTAGGAGGGGTCGCCAGCGCAGCCACGCTCCTGAGCTGGGAAAGGTTTGCCGGGGTGGCTCTAGGCTAGCCCACAGAGCAGGCAGCGCTCGTCGACGATGGCCACTCGACTCGCACAAGGCACCCCCTCTGGCGGCAACCACGGGTACTGCCCCCTGGCCAGCGAGGCACTGACCCGGCCCCCAAGCTTACAGCCTTTATACTAGTGATATATGGTTGTGACTATTTTCTTCCACTATTTGATCTGAGGAAGTGGGTCTGGCCCACGAAAGCTCATCATCTAATAAACCATCTTGTTAGTCTTTAAAGTGCTACATTGTCCTGCATTTTGTTTCAGCCTTTATACTGTGGCACTGCCTCCCAGCCCTAGGGTGCTGGACAGATGTTTTGTACCTAGCAGTCCCTGCCCTAAAGATCAGAGGCGAGCGCTCCTCTCCCCCTGACGCCCAAATGCTGCCCACGTACACATTTCCCTCCGGACGCCCCCGAGACTCAGGTTTGTCATTTTATTCCCGTTTTCATAAATGGGGAAACTGAGCCAGAGGGAGACCAGGCAACTAGAGAGCTTGTGGCAGAGCCGAGAATCGAACTTGCTGGCCACACTCTGCCCATCAAGTCAGGACTCCTCTGCTCCAACACAAAAGATCCCCCACGGGACACCAGCAGGTCTCTTCCCTCTGCTCCCGCTTCCCCTTCTCCTCCAGACGGGACACCAACACATCGCCCTGGCTAGCTCCTGCAAGAAGCTAGAGCCAGGCTCCAGGCCGCATTCCTCTGCTTCTGAGCCAAAGGGGGTTAGAGCATCTGAACTACAGAGCAGGCATCCCAGCCAGGCCTCGATGCCCCTCGGCTCTCACCTGTCACTGCTGGAGCTGGTCGGGGCTCTCTCGGGCTTTGGTTTCCTGCCACGAGGCTTTGGGGGCGGCTTCTCAGCTAGAAGAAGGGAGGGGTCAGGGATTCAGCACAGCAGGACATAGTACACACACACAGAGCACTAGACAGTGCTTGGTCCTGCCATGAGGGCAGGGGACTGGACTTGATGACCTCTTGAGGTCCCTTCTGGTTCTGTGATCCTTTCCACCAGCACCATATGCAGCCTAACCTGGGCCGGGGATCTGGCTTTCAGCCCACCTCCTGGGGCAAGGATTAACGAAGGTTCCCACACAAAGGGGAGCTGCTGAGCCCACCCAGCCCAGCTCCCTTCCAGAACCACATGGAGAGAGCTAGCAGCAGCCTGGCAGGAAGGTTAGCTCCCCTTCAGTCCTACCTGGCTTCCGGCCCCGTGGAACCTTCTTCACAGACACGTCCGAGTCCGAGTCAGAGTCCGAGTCCATCTTAGTCACGTCCACAGACTCCTTTTCCTCTTCCGAATCCACTTTGGAATCCGAGTCGGAGCCTGAATCCGCCTTCTGTGAGCAAAAGGGAGAGCAAGGGGGGGACCGATGAGTTGGTCCGCAAGGCACAGAGCTGAACTGCCTTCCTATGGGACCCGTAAGTGAGAGGAAAGAGGAAATCTACCTCCAGTCCCCTTAGATCTCTGCAGGTCAGGAGGTCAGATTAGGTGATCACAAGGCCACAAGAGAACAGGACATCCCCTCTTCCTGCTCCCCCAACTCATCAACTCCACGAGCAGGACGCCCGTCATTCTGGCTCCTCGTAACCCTCCTCCCCCCACCATGCCTACACTGGGGGCAACAAGGAATCAGAAGTTGCGTCTCTTCCGTTGCGCGTCTGTATTTCCTTTCCACTTCCGGCCAGCTAGATCAGGTCTGTCTAACTGGCCAGCTGCAACCTGCACCGGATGTCGACTGGCAGAGCCAAGCTCTCAGTGGCAAGGGGCTAACCCGGTGCAGGGAGCAGGGACTAGCAATGGGGAAGGGCTGTTGGCTTTAAGGGCCCCTACCTTTTTCTTCCTTCTGCCTGCAGATGCCCTCCTGGGAGCTCTGACCACTGGCTTCTTCTCTGGAGTAAAGTCCTGGGAAGGGACGGACGGACTTGATTTAGGAAAGGCCTCACTTTCGCTTCAGGGCCTTTGCCTGCATCGCTCTCGGCAGGAAACAGAGAGAGGTGAGGGCACCTTCTGGATATGCCTTGGGGTGGCATTGTGGGGGTAAAGAATGGCCCCAGGTTGGCCCTTCCAGCTAAAACGCCTGCCCCGCCTCATTATCGAACAGCCCTTGGCTTGGATCTCCGCAGACCACAGGTGCTGACCCAAAGCCCCGGGCCTGGTTGTACTTGGGTAGACAAGCTGCCCAGTCTTAACTGGATCAAGGAACAAATACCGACAAGGTCCCAGCAAAGATGCATTGGGCACCTCAGAGCAGAGCCACGACTTTTCCTAAAGCTGGGGAACAGTGGGCGAAAGAACTGCCCCCGGGTGCCCAGTCAGTCAGTGCCACACCGGCCAACCTGTGCCACCTGCTGTCACCACCAATGTCCCTCCAGCAGCAGAGCTTCACAGGTGATTAATCAGCCCCGCCCAGTCAGAGGTGATTAATCAGCTGTGAAGCTTTAGAGGAAACACCAGTCACCATGCAGAGATGCCAAGCCCCAGCCTGGCCTGAATGCTCATGGAACATAAGAACAGCCGTACTGGATCAGACCAAAGGTCCATCTAGCCCAGTATCCTGTCTGCTGACAGTGGCCAGCACCAGGTGCCCCAGAGAGGGTGGACCGAAGACAATGATCAAGCAATTTGTCTCCTGCCACCCTTCTCCAGTCTCTGACAAACAGAGGCCAGCGTCACCATTTCTATCCCCTGGCTAATAGCCTTTTATGGACCTAACCTTCATGGAATTATCTAGCTTCTCTTTAAACTCTGTTATAGTCCTAGCCTTCACAGCCTCCTCTGGCAAGGAGTTCCACAGGTTGACTACACGCTGTGTGAAGAACTTCCTTTTATTAGTTTTAAACCTGCTACCCATTAATTTCATTTGGTGTCCTCTAGTTCTTCTATTTAGGGAACTAATAAATAACTTTTCTTTATCAGCCCTCTCCACGCCACTCATGATTTTATAGACCTCTATCATATCCCCCCTCAGTCTCCTCTTTTCTAAACTGAAAAGTCCCAGTCGCTTTAACCTCTCCTCATATGGGACCCATTCCAAACCCCTAATCATTTTAGTTGCCCTTTTCTGAACCCTTTCCAAGGCCAAAATATATTTTTTGAGGGGAGGAGACCACATCTGTACACAGTATTCAAGATGTAGGCGTACCATAGTTTTATGCAGGGGCAGTAAGATATTCTGGGTCTTATTTTCTATCCCTTTCTTAATACTTCCTATCATCCTATTTGCCTTTTTGACCACCGCTGCACACTGTGTGGAAGTTTTCATAGAACTGTCCACGATAACTCCAAGATCTCTTTCCTGATTCGTTGTAGCCAAATTAGCCCCCATCATACTGTACGTATAGTTGGGGTTATTTTTCCCGATGTGCATTACTTTACACTTATCCACATTAAATTTCATTTGCCATTTTGTTGCCCAATCACTCAGTTTGGTGAGATCTTCTTGGAGTCCCTCACAGTCTGCTTCTGTCTTGACTATCCTAAACAGTTTGGTATCATCTGCAAACTTTACTACCTCACTGCTTACCCCTTTCTCCAGATCATTTATGAATAAGTTGAAAAGGATTGGTCCCAGGACTGACCCTTGGGGTACACCACTAGTTACCCCTCTCCAATCTGAAAATAAGAAAGGACCTTTCCTCTTATCCCATGGCAATGTAATTTACACAAGAGCCTTTGGTGAGGAAACCTTGTCAAAGGCTTTCTGAAAATCTAAGTATACTATATCTACTGGATCCTCCTTGTCTGCATGTTTGTTAACCCCTTCAAAGAACTCTAATAGATTAGTAAGACAGGATTTCCCTTTACAGATCCCATGTTGACTTTTGTCCAACAAATTATGTTCTTCTACATGCCTCACAATTTTATTCTTTACTATTATTTCGACTAATTTGCCCGGTACTGAAGTTAGGCTTACGGGTCTGTAATTGCCCGGATCGCCTCTAGAGCCCTTTTTAAATATTGGTGTCACGTTGGCTACCTTCCAGTCATTAGGTACAGAAGCCGATTTAAAGGATAGGTTACAAACCACAGATAATAGTTCAGCAATTTCCCATTTGAGTTCTTTTAGAACCCTTGGATGAATGCCATCCTGTCCCGGAGATTTGTTAACATTAAGTTTTTCTATTTGTTCCAAAACCTCCTCGAATGACACTTCAATCCGGGACAGTTCCTCAGATTCATCACCCACACAGGATGGTGCAGATTTGGGAATCTCCCTAACGTCCTCAGCCGTGAAGACTGAAGCAAAGAAATCATATAGTTTCTCCGCAATGGCTTTATCATTTAGTTTATCCGAAGGAGCTGGAGACTGAATGCTCATGGAAGCAGTAGGTGTACTGCAACAGCATGCCATTGCCCTCCGCTGCAGCAACGAGACAAGCTTAGAAGGCCGGGATTACATCCCTAGGCCAAGGTCTTCAGAGCAGATGCACTCACATGCTACTAACCACGGATGGACGCTGCTTGAGCTCAAGTGGTAGAGGCCCTTTGTACGTGTACAGCACAGGCTAGTCCACATTCTGCCCCCGTGTGACCCATTTAGCTGGCAAGGGAGAGGGCATATGGAGAGTGCACCTTGGCCTACGTGCTCTCCACTCTCCCGTTAGTTAATCTGAACCTACCCAACCCCAGCAGCATTGGGGGAGGGAGGGAGAATCTCTAAATCACTCGCTCACCTGGTCACTGTTTTTCTCTGATTCGGAAGAACTTTCCGAGTTCTCCTCTTCCGAGGGAGACGCACTGCCCTGGTCGAGGTCGCTGGAGGATTTCCGGGGTCGTTTAGCCACTGGCATCTGGAGTCAGAAAATCATCAGCAGACCCGCTGCCACAAGCTGGTATATATTGCTCACTGCTGCCCCCAAAATCGACTGAGTGGGGCTTTAACCACCACTCTCCTTACTGGTTTCTGTAATAAACTTGGAACGGCAGCCAGGGTGCAGTTTAAAGTGCATACAATTCATGCACATTGCGACAGGGCCTTCTGACGGATACTAGGGCCAAGGGAGCTATGTCACCCGATGTCAGCTGGTGAGTTAGCTCTGATGTCTTAGCTACTTCTAAACTTGGGATTACCTCCAGAGCATCAATAGGAGAGCTTGATTTCACAGCCTGCTGTGATGTTTGGGTGCCACAAGAAAAATGCAGCTACCTCTGGGGTGGCTCACAGCAGCTAAGTGGTGGTGATGTTCCTGTCTTACATATTATTCCTTGCGTGCTTTGTGAGCAGCCCGTGATATAACTGTAGCCCTCCTCCCGCTATCCCAGCCAGGTCATTCCTCCCACATCATCATGGGGCAAACTTACTTTCATAGCTAGCGCTTTCCGTTTCAGGCCACTGTGGTCGCTCCCCTTGTCGGACTCCTCATCACTGTCCAGCTTCTCCATGGCCGCTGCAGCAACGGCAGCAACCGCCATGGCAGCGGATTCCTCTTCCTCCTCTCCTCCGTCGCTTCCTGCCACTGGGTCGTTCTCGGGAACCTCGCTGTCAGAGGAGCTCGCTGGCTGCGGGGGCGAAGAAATGGAAAGGTCGGGGTGACTGCTCTGCTGGGGGTCCCCCACAGCATGGCAAGAGAGTAGGGAATGAGAGAGGAGGGTTGAGCCAAGAGGGGTATTTACACTCCCACATGAACAGCAGCCCTCAGAAGGCGGGACAACCAAGCCAGAACCCCCGGAAGGGTGACAGCCCTGAGAAGGGACAGTATCATGTTGACTTTTCAATGAAACTTCTTCCACAGCCCCCTAAGCTCCCCTCAGCCTAACCCCCTAGTCCCTTTCTACACCATCTCGGAACAAAGACAACTCCGCACTGGCTCCCCCTCCATCTCTGGGGTTACCTACTGCTGCACCAAACTCTCAGGATCCCGCCTTCACCGTGTTGCTATTCCAGGGCTATT